ACGTCTGAGTGCTCAGCCTGTGCCTGTGCCGATAGAGCGGCTGGACTAGAGATGGGGGTTCACTGTTTGATAGAGCGACCGCTAGCGACCCTGGGGGTGGGTCGAGTGAACCTGTGTGTGTGTGTGTGTGTGTGTGGTGTCCGGACACTGTATCATTGTATGGTTAATGCATTGTGTGGTTAATGTTAATGTGTTTGTAATCGTGCGAGTGTGTGGCGTATGAAAGAGAGAGCGAACAAGTGAGTTCACCCATGGCGCGGGGGGTGAGTTCTACCCGTGTTTGAAGCAGCCGGGTGAGGCTTGAGGCGCTGGCTGCGGCAGGCTGTAGGGGCAGGGAGTGCCCCGCAGAGAAGTAGAACAAGTGGAGAAAGGTCAGTAAAGATATTTATTGTGTTTAAATGTGGTGATTTGTGTAGATTTAGCACATTTTAACTGTGACTACGAGCTCAGGGAGTTCCTTTGCCCTGGTAGTTTAGACTTGATCTCTGAAATTTTACTGTGTGCTGTTATTTTGATTGTGTCCAGAGTGTGTGAGGACCAGAGAAAGCTGATGTGGGTAAATGCTGAATTATTGTATGCTGTGTTGTGTTGAGAAAAGTGGGCACTTTGAGAGATATGCCCTTTCCCAGTGAGTCTGTGTGGTTCTTCCCCCGCATTGTAGTAATTTGATTCTTGGATTGTATAGTGGTGTTTGTGGAGATTTGAGGATTTTGTTTGCAACAAGTGTAGCATTTTGCACAGAAGAACTATGGTATGGTGATTTATGTTTAACTGTGGTAAAGCAAATTAAAGGAACTCCAAGAATTCCCCCCCCCCCCCAGCAATTCAAGCCCTGACTCTAGTAAATTTGAGATAAGGGGGGGGGGGGGGGGGGTGTCTGTGTTTGTAGGCATATCAGAGTTTTTGCTGTAACAAGCAGAGCCTTTTTCAAGGCAGTAAAGTGAGTGTCAGTAGAAACAATGCTTTAATTAGATTGTGCAAGAAGAGAACTAGAAAATACAGAGATTTTGTAAAACAGAGTTTAGATAGAAGAGATGAATGAGTTTATGGGACTTCAGTGGGTAATATAGTAAGTTTAGACTGAGAACAACCCGCCATAGAGGTTAAGTGATAAATGCCGAAGTGATAAACAGAATAGCCTGCAGGCAATTCCCGGGAGTTTTTGGTGCATTGAGAGGCTGGCACCTTATGTGCAATGCAGAGTTTGTGAGGGTCGATAGTATTGCTGTTCTGTGTGTTAAGTGTAAATTAAAGGTTCCTGATCAAGCCAATTCAGAACCTGAGATCTTAAAGCTTCTGTGTGGAGAATCACATCTGATACCTGCCACCTGGAGGTCTGTGTGTGAAGAAAACCTGAGAAAAGACACTGTGAGGCTTAGGTAGAAACAAGATAGTATAAGGAGAAGGAGATAATGAGAACTAACCAGAGGAAAGAGGTTTCTGAACTAGCCCCTTTGGGAGGGGCTCACTGGGAGAAGGCTGCCAGTAGAGGCAGCTCAGAAAATAAAAAGATTTATAATACCATATTGCAGTTAATGCTGTTTTTAAATGGGAAGGTAAATAAGATTAAGTCCGGTATGCTGATGTGTTTTTTGCTTTAAGAAATCACCTAGAATGGCAGAGTAACTGTGGGTTCAGAGCTCCCTCTGACCTACTGGTATAGCTCTTGAAAAAAAAAAAAAAAAAAACAAAGCAAAGAGAAGGCAAGTAAAACGTGTTGTTCAGCATGCAGCATAAGATAGCAATGTATGAAGTCAGACAAAGATTATCATGCTGAAACGCAAAGCGATTACAATTCGCAAAATGAGTACATATGATTTGTTAAAAGCTCCTCCTAAGGTAAGGGAGGAAAGATAAAGAAGACCTCCCCAAAACAGAAGAGGACTCAGGCTCCAAAGGTATACCCATTCGCACCCATCCCCCTCCTGGCAGTCTAATTTCATCCAGAACTAGGAGGTAACAGACCCCTCTGCGAGAGGCAGTGAGACCAGAAGAAAAGAAAAGGGTGGAATTTTAGTTCATACAGGGGCCATATATTCAGTTTTAAATAAAGCTTTAGTACCTGTGGAAAATGTTTATGTTGTAGTGTGGGGAACAACTAGCCAGTCTGAGAAGGCATACTTTTGCAAACCTTTAAAGTAACATGTGTACTTAGAAGCTTTTCTATATGCCCAATTCGCTAAATATTCTAAAATGGGGAGGTTACTCTGGAAGCAAATGATATAAAGATATTAGGCTTGACATTAACAGCCATTGAAATTAAGAAGGACATTAGTAAAGAGATATTAGAATAAGTAAATAAGTATTTTCAAGGGTATGTAATAAAGCCTCTGATTTGGCCTTATTATTATGCAGAGCAATATAGCCCGGGGACCCAGTCCCCAGGGAGACGGGGTGCCCGAAGGCTATATTGCTCAGGCCGGTAGCTGTGGGCCAAACCCCATAGCAAGCTTAGTGATTATCAGCTCTATAGTGATTGCAAGCTCTTAGGATTTCAGCTCGTGCTTGCTGGGTAAGTTTGCCCTTGGCTTGAGGCTGCAGCAGACGGCGGGCGGAGAGAGGAGAAGGAGAGGCGCTGGCTGGTTCCAGAGAGATGGCTTTATTGGGGAAGTCTGTGAAGGGTCCCAGCGACAGCTCTTCTTCTGTCGAATGGGCTAAAGTATGCTTCTTTTATAGGGTTCGGGGGGATCCAGATTTGACCAATGGTAAGGGTTAAAGTAACATAGCCTTATAGGGTTACAGAGATAGGCTATGGGGTGGGGGGTCAGGGAGACAGGAACTTCTTGTTGCTGTGTCAGCATTCCTATTGTTCAGATCCTCCATGGTGCCTTTCCCAGGTCCATGGGGTTTACTACAACTCCACTTTCTGTTTTTACAAAAAAGGCGTTCGCTATAGTTCTTTTGAAACAGTGAACAAGGCACGAGAACATAGCTAACACAATAACAACTACAAGGAGAATCAACAACATTCCCTTAACCAAAGGTACAGCCCATTCTGTTAATCCCCGTTGCCCAAAAAGTTCATTGACCCAGTCTGGGATTCTCTCTACTTTCAAGTCCTTCACGAGATCTTTCAGTTTCTGGATGTTCACATGGATGGATTCCGAGCATGAAGAGAGGTTGAAGCAGCACATCCCTTTGAAGTCTTCACAGCCGTGTCCATGGGCAAGCAGCAGGAAGTCAATTGCTGCTCGATTTTGGATTGAAGCATGTCTTGTGGTTTCTTCTTCCTTTAAGAGATCACTCAGGGCAGCCAATGTAGTGTTAGCTTGTTTACTGAGCCAGCACCCAAGGTGATTGATTTCACCGAGGGCTTTAGCTGCAGCTACCCAGGGTAAGAACAGGGAGACAGCAATCTTTTTTGGTTTGTTCCAATCGTATAATTTAAGATCACAATTTTCATCAAATTCAGTGTAGGACCTTTTCTGGCATTTTGATTCGCTTTCTTTTTTCCAATTATGTAACAGGGTGATGTTTGGAGTAAGGGTAGAAAGTTTTCCAAGGCTACAGGGACCTCCCTAGAGTTGGGAGGGGATCCCAGCCCATACTTTGTCACCACAGATGAGAAAGATTCCCTTGGGTAATACTTTGGGATGGAGAGAGGACACAGAAATCACATGAGCCGTGTAATTGCACCAATCGTGAGAGTTATAGGCTTTGTTAATTGGTGATATCTCTTTTCGATATGTGTTTTTATTCTGGTCAATCTCTGGCCAATTGTTTTTTGGGTATCTAAAATAGAATTTGACGCAATATGTGGCCTTGGAGGACCCCAACAGGTCCAATTCTTGGGGTTCCTCTTGAGCATCTGGCAGAATTTTTGTCCACTCTTCCCGAGTATCAGCCACATTGGGTGTCTTACCTGTGGTGCAGAGAAGCTCTGAGTTATAGACAAGCCAGTCATCTGCTACAAAGGGAATTCCTACTAGACATGTGGAAAGTCATCAAGTTATCAATTCTTCCCATGGATAGGCACGTGTTGACCTGTTTTAATGTTTTTGCTAAGGTTACCCAAACATTATGGCTAGGCTGAGGGCTAATCCAGCCGAAGGCACGCGGTACGGTGAAGAACATCCAGGCAGCAGTGAGGACAGCACCAATGGAGATAATTTTCATCTTTGGACAGGGATGGGGCTTCTGATAGGGAATTTAGGCAGAATTTGTTATCTTTATGATGAGAGGGTTTTCTCCCTTGTTCTTTTCTCCGTTCCCCTCCTCCCCCCCCCCCCTTTTTTCTTTTAATTTCTAAGCTACACTAAGGGAGGAGGAGTGGGTAGAAGGTTAAGGGGTTTTAAAAAGTTAGGGAGAGGGAATAATAGGGTTTTTTGAAATACAAAAAAGTAACAACACATAATTCAGAGAACACTTTTGTGTTAAGGCTATCTATGGCTTGATGCAGCAGAATGTTGTTTTGCATTCAGTTTTGTCTGCTGTCTTGTAATGGGGCAGTCTGTTCTTTTGTTTGTGGGTATTCGGTGACGTCTTCATCTCCAGGCAGAACTGGTTTGGTTTTGAGGCGGTCTTGTGTTTGCCTCATGAGAGTTCTTGTCCCCATTTGCAGGAGTAGTGTTTGCAGTGCCTAAGTATGGCTTTATGTTTTTTCCTGGGTACCACCTTGGACCAGATGGTAGTAGCATGCACGCATATCCTCTACCCCAGGTGATCAGCTGGAAAGGCCCAGAAATTTGGTGTGTTTCAGGGTCCTTCACAAGCACCGGTGGTTTCTCAGTGAGCTTTGCTTGGGTGGTATTTGCAAAGTGGCGAAGTATTGGTGGATCAGGCTCTGATGCTGTACAGTTCAGGAAGTCAATGACATAGAGAGCTTTGCAAAGTCTTTCCACTGGAGATGTGATTCTCGTGTCTCTGTTCTGTTGGTCGAGGACTCTTTTGAGGGTTTGATGTGTCCTTTCCACGATAGATTGTCCTGTGGGGTTTACAGGTATGCCGGTCTTGTGTGCTCTGCCCCATTCATTGAAGAACTCCTTTAACTTGCGGGAGCTTTAGGCTGGTCCATTATCTGTTTTAATCTCCTTTGGTACACCCAGGGGGGCAAAAGTGAGGAGAAAGTGTTTTACTGTGTGCAGGGTATTTTCTCCTGCATGTGATGATGCAAATACTGCTCCCGAAAACATGTCGACTGATACATGCACGTATTTTGATCTTTCAAAAGGTGCGAAGTGAGTTACATCTGTCTGCCACAGCTGGCAGCTATTCAGACCTCGGGGGTTGACTCCCGTCCCCATAGATGGTATCTGGTAGTTTTGACAGTTCGGACATGTAGCAACAATAGCCTTTGCCTGATCCTTTGAGAGCTTAAACATTCTCATAAGGGCAGGTATATTTTGATGAAAAAATGCGTGTGACAACTTTGTCTGGGCAAAGATGTTAGGAACATTAGCAGTTTCTGCTGCCATTGCTAATGCATCCGCTTTCCTGTTGCCTTCTGCAACAAAACCTGGGACGTCTGTGTGTGACCTCACATGCATTATATGGTAAGGTTGCTTTCTGTGGGAGATTAGGTGTATTAATTTAGAGATCAGTTAGTACAACCTTGGATTAGAAACCTCTTTGAGAAGAGCATGTTCTGCTCTCATAGCTATCCCAGCAACATAAGCTGAATCTGTGACCAGATTGAAAGGCTCATTTTTAAACTTTTCAAAGGCTCTGACAACAGCTGCTAATTCTGCAATCTGTGGAGATCCCTCCACTATTTGTCTGTCAGATTCCCAATTTTGTGTTTGAGGGTCTCTCCATGTAATCACTGACTTGGGAAGACCCTGAGCCATCTGTAAAGAGGGTTAGAGCTTTGAGAGGCTTTCTACTTTGGATTCGTTTTGGAATCAAATGGAAACTTACATCAGGGTTAAAAAGTTTGTGTTGTGGGATCTTAAATGAAGTTTGGCCCGTGTAGCTATCTAGGGCAAACTGGAGGGTCTCATTGCTCTGAAGCAAATCCTCAAAGTCTGTGAGGGTTATTGGTAAGTATATGCATTCAAACTCACAACCTGAAAGAGAGCGAAGGCAAGTCCTAGCCTTTTTTATTAAATGTACCATGACCTCCTGGTAGGTGGTAAGTGTCTTTGTAGGCTGGCTACTTGTAAAGACCCATTCCAGTATCAACAAAGGGTCTCGAAGCTGGGAGTCCCATTGGAATATCAGTCCATGAAATCGAGGTGCTTTTCCCAGGATGATGAACTTGAAAGGCAGGCTGGGCTCGAAGCGATGGGCTTTGCGTGAAGACAGAGCTTCCTGAACTTTGGTGATGGCACCTCTGGCTTCTTCAGTGAGAGTGCAGGGACAGTCCAGGTCCTTAGGTCCATGAAGAAGATTGAGCAGGGGAGCAAGGTCCTCTGTTGTAATTCCTAGCAGTAGAGGTACCCCGTTGATGGATCCACAAAGACTGTGTAAGTCCCTCAGGGTTTTTGGGTCGTCGTTTATGGTGAGCTGCTGGGGTACGATGGTCCTTTCCCAGATCTGGACTCCAAGGTAAGTCCATGGTTTGGTGTACTGTATTTTATCTTCACGAATCTCCATTCCTGCCTTTTCTATGGTTTCAATAGTCTTTTTAACTGTATTGTCCAAGTAAGCTTTATCTGAAGCACATACCAGGATATCATCCACATAATGGTGGATGATAGCATCTGGAAATGATTTCCGAATGGGAGACAGGATGTGAGCCATGTACTACTGGCAAATAGTGGGCGAGTTTTTTAGGCCTTGGGGAAGATAAGGCCAATGATATCTTTTGATTGGAGCCTCCTTGTTAAGAGAGGGAATGGAGAAAGCAAACCATGGAGCATCCTCAGGGTGCAGAGGAATGCTGAAGAAACAGTCCTTAATGTCTATGATAGCAAGTGTCCAGTCTCTAGGCAGCATCGATGGGGAGGGCAAGCCAGGCTGGAGAGGGCCCATGTCCTTGATGACCTCGTTGATTCTGCGAAGGTCGTGGAGGAGCCTCCACCTGTTTGTCCCAGGCTTTGGTAGAACGAAGACTGGAGAGTTCCAAGGGCTGTTGGATTCTACTATGTGGCCTTTTGCAAGCTGTTCTTCCACAAGGGTGTTTAGGGCGTGCAGCTTGGCTTTAGAGAGGGGCCACTGTTCAATCCAGATCGGCTTGTGATGTTTCCAGGTGAGACGAGGTGTTTCTGGCAGCGCGCTTAGCTCAGTGGCCCCGATTAGAAATCCTGAGTGGGGATACGTAGGGAAGCTCCCCACTGGGATAGAATGTCTCTGCCCCAAAGGGTGATGGGGGCCCTTACCACGAATGGGCGGATGGTTGCCAACTTGCCTTCAGGCCCTTCAACGAGGATGTTGTTCTTGCTTCTCATGGATACTGCAGCTCTGCCAATCCCTGAAATCATGCCTGCGACGGGTTGTAGTTCCCAATGTGCTGGCCATTCTGAGCGGGCGATGATGGTCACATCAGCACCGGTGTCCAGCATCCCTGGTAGGTGGGTCTTCTCGCCTTTGCAGGTGAGGCCGCACTCGATGGTAGGCTTGGATGGTCCCACGACTTGTGCCCACATAGCTGTAGGGTTGAGAGGAATCTGTTCCCTGTGATTCTTTGGGAGTAAAAAGGCTTGTGCTATTGGAGTTCCCTTTGAAAGAAAAAATGGTGAGTCTATGCAGTGTACCTGGATGAGACTCTCTTGTCCTGGCTGCACTGTCAGCACTTCTGGAACAACGAAGATCTCCGTTGGGCTATTAAGAGAGTCACCTATAATTAAAATGTCCGAAGGACCACCTTTTGGCCCATATTTGCCTGTGGGAACACGGTAAACATTCTCATTATTAAAGTCAATGGACAAAGCAGTTGCCAATTGCTGGTGGGTTCCCATCTGGGTTGCCCCGTGTGTTGGATCCTCTTCTTGTGGTCCGGAATGTCCTGGGTTGGTGCGTGGTTGGATCTGGGTGGCCTTTGATTTGTTGTCAGCGCCTGGGGCTCGACCGGGAGGCGCAAGGAGTTTAATGTACGCTGCTGGTAACGCTGCTGATTCTGGGGTCTTCGATAATTGTTACGGTGGTATCGGGGAGGTGATCTCTCTGGGCAGTCCTTTATGTGATGTCCAAGATCCCCAGTGATAGCATTTAGCTTGGTCTTTAGAAGCTATGACTGCATATGCACCAGAAACTCCTTCAGCAATACCCTTAGCAACTGCTTGGGCCACTGTATTTTCAGTGGACATGTGACATGTACAGCATTCCAGCATTTGCTCTATGGTGGGGTCGGAATCCACGGGTAGAGACCGCAAAATGGCTTTGCATTTTTCATTTGAGTTACTCAAGGCAAGCTTACATAAGAGTTCCTTCCTTGCCTCTGTGCTCTCTATCTTTTTCTCCAGAGCATCTCTAAGTCTGTCCACAAATTTGATAAAACTTTCATCTATCCCTTGTTTAATAGTAGAAAAATGCATTGTTGGCATTGACTCATCATGCACGAGAGGTAAAGAGGTTTTTGCTGCGAGAGCGACGTCCTGCAGTGCCTCTTTATTCAAGGTTTCCAACTGGTCTGCTGGTTTCTGTAAATCACCTTCCCCAGCTAGTTGTTCTACCGTGAAATTTGTCTTAGCAGCATCTGCAGAATATGACTCTGATAATGTTTTTAATTGTTTTTTCCAATGCCTGTCCCATAACATATATTCTACTGGGGACAGGAGGCAGTGTGAAATATTTTTTATATCGTGGGGAAGTAAGACATGTGCTGAGAACATGGCTTCTAAGAAGTTTCTAAAAATATGTGAGCTTCTGCCATGTTCTTTGGCTATATTTCTTAATTGCACTAGCTCCTTATTCGAGTTTGCTTTCCATGTCTTTATAGTAGACTCCCCACCGTTTCGGCCCTGCTTATATTCTACGGGGAAAGCATTAATTTTGTTTGCCAGCTCCCAATCCCCAGCCTTGGTCACCTCTATCTTCATAAGAGCCCATGGATCCGTATGGATCGTATCAGAATCAGATTCACTGCAAGAGCTCTGGTCCTCTGAGGAGGACTGGGGGGGGGGGGGGGGGGGGGGATTGCTATTCGTGACCTATGCTTTTTACGGCGTTTAGAAGCGGCATTTTTCAATATTATAGGTGGCTGAGGGGGGACACACGGCGTGACCTGGCCAGCGGGAGGCGCCACTGGAGCTGGGATGGCAGCACAGCACGCGCCGGACTGGGTGGGGGGGGGTAGCACCGTGGGGGGTCTCTGGGATTCCGTTTGAGAGGCATTGAGGGTGGGTGGGGGATGGGTGGTGCGGGCAGCGGGGCTGGGCGGGCTGGGGGTGCGGGCATGGGGGGAGTGGGGGTGAGGAAGCAGTGGGACCGGTCTGGGGTACCGCGGTTACGGGGTGGTGTGGTGGGACTGCGCATGTGTGGGCACTCCCTGCTGAGGTTGGGAGTGCGAATGTCTGGGGACCCCCTGCTGTGGCAGGCACTGCGCAGGCGGGGGGTGGCGGGGATGAACGCGGGCACGGCAGTGGCCGGGGCGGGGATCCGGAAGACGTCGGGAGGGGCCGGGCCGCTCGGAGCCGGGGTGGGAAGGGCGGGGGCGGCGGGAACGGGGTCGGGGACATTGCGACGGGAGGAGTCAGAGTCACCGTGGGGGTGGGAGGGGGGTGGCAGGGTCCGCGGCGGAGAGGGACGGAGCCGGCGCGGGAGGAGGGGGGGCCGCGGCGGGGGAGGGGGCGGCAGAGGCAGGAAAAGGGACCCCCACGACCAGAGGTGGGGGGGAGCCGAGACAGAGTTTGGGAGGATATCTGTGTTTATAGATAAGAGATTATCTTGGGGGTCGAGCAGCGCAGATCCCGCAGCCATGGGGGAGGAGCGGGGGGGGGGGTTACCGTGGTGAGCAGCGTAGGCTCTTCCTTGGGGGTAGCGGAGGCAAAGGGGACTTTAGGACCTAACTGATGCAAGGTATGCAAGCGACATTCCTGACCATGCATATCAGTGTCATTAGCATTTGAAAAGGAAGTGTCTGTTACTGGCTTAAAGATTTTTTCTCTGTTATATTTTGCAATAGTTTTAGTTATTATATGAAATAACGGCAAATAGTTAGTCGCAGAAAAGTCCTGTTTTGTTTGTGAGATATATATTGCGTTCCCGATCTTATCCCAAAATGAATTTTCAGTGACAGCTTCCTTATCAGTTTCAGGGTATTGCAACATAATCCATGTTACAAATATTTTAAGGTTATTTTTTGAGAGCTTGCCTTTGGAAAAGGAGAAGTTGTTAGCAGATAAGATTTCTATAATAATTAAGTATATTTCTCTCTCGACTTTAGTTAGTTTTAAGGTGCTAAAAATTGAGCCCGTGTTAATTTAGCCCTTCCAGCAGAAAAAAAACCGAGAAAAAAAGAAAAAAAAAACGAAAAAAAAAGTTTTAGAGCCCAGAACTTATGCGTGCAATGTTAGCTAATTTATACTTACAGTTCTTGGGGTCCAGAATCTGTGGAAGGGGTCTGCTGACGTCAGTTCTCCTCAGAACTTTTTTTTTCGTTCAGATGTAAATTTTGAGGGTCGAACTGACACCTCCCGGGGAGAGTTTCTTCTAAAACGAAAAAGTCTCTTCACAGGAGGAGCGAAGCCCCTCGAAGCCCCTCGTAGACAAATATCGCCTCTGTGGGGGGGTTCGTAGTTGGTCGCCACTATAATAAAGCCTCTGATTTGGCAGAGCGATATAGCCCGGGGACCCAGTCCCCAGGGAGACGGGGTGCCCGAAGGCTATATTGCTCAGGCCGGTAGCTGTGGGCCAAACCCCATAGCAAGCTTAGTGATTATCAGCTCTATAGTGATTGCAAGCTCTTAGGATTTCAGCTCGTGCTTGCTGGGTAAGTTTGCCCTTGGCTTGAGGCTGCAGCAGACGGCGGGCGGAGAGAGGAGAAGGAGAGGCGCTGGCTGGTTCCAGAGAGATGGCTTTATTGGGGAAGTCTGTGAACGGTCCCAGCGACAGGTATGGGCCTCTGCTGTACCCAGGGAGGGTGAAAAATGCCCCCCCCCAATAGTAATCAAGCTTAAGGAAGGAACACAACCAGTACCCCCTCAAAAAGAAGATAGGGAAGAAATCAGCCCAATAATTGATAGTACTAGATTGAAGGCTGTCAATAAGATAACAAAGAGTTTATACCCTGTAGTAGCAAATCCATATACTTTACTAACTTGTTTAACACCTGAGCTAACCTGGTTTACTGTTTTAGACCTGAGAGATGCATTCTTTTGCCTCCCTATCCATGAACCCAGCCAGAAAATTTTTGCATTGGAATAGGAAAGCCCTAGAAGCAGTGCAAAATACAGCTCACATGGTCCATGTGCCTGAAGGCTTCAAAAAATTCCCCCACTCCGACTGGAGAACAACTTGCAAAGATCCAGAGTCCTGGGAAGCTCCACAGGAAGAAGGAAGGCTGTTGCAGTATGTAGATGATCTTCTAGTAGCCACTCAGACGAGAGAAGCATGTGTAGCCTAGATGATAAGCTTTTCAAATTTCCTAGGACTCCAAGGATACAGAGTATCAAAGAAAAAGGCATAAGTAGTGAAACAGAAAGTAATCTACCTGGAGTACAAGGTGAGTGCTAGGCAACGGACTTTACGGCAGGCTCGCAAGGAAGCCATATGCCAAACGCGAAACCCCAGACAACAAAGGAACTCCGAACCTTCTTAGGCATGGCAAGGTAGTGCCAGCTGTGGGTTTATAATTATAGACTGCTTGTCAGACCCCTCTATGCTCTTATTGCCAATAGAAACAGAGATCTTCAGTAGACAAAGGAAGCCACACAAACCTTTCACCAGCTAAAGAGTGCCCTCATGTCAGCTCCAGCTTTGGGACTTCCAGATGTAAGTAAACCATTCTTTCTATGTTCCCATGAAAGACAAAGAATTGCCTTAGGAATACTGGCTCAGAACGTAGATCCATACCAGAGGGCAGTTGCTTACTTCTCCAAGCAACTAGATGCAACAGCCAAAAGATGGCCAGGCTGCCTCAGAGCTGTAGCAGCAGTCGTGCTGAATATTCAAGAGGCACGCAAGTTTACCCTGGGACAGAAAATGACTGTGCTAGTGTCCCACACAGTGTCCGCAGTACTGGAAGCAAAGGGTGGCCACTGGCTTTCACCACAGAAGTTCCTGAAATACCAAGCCATCATAGTAGAGCAAGATGATGTAGAGATAGTAGTGACTAATATTGTCAACCCAGCTTCTTTTCTCAGTAGAATCAAAGAGAAGCAGTATACCACGATTGCCTAGAGACCATTGAAGTTACCTACTCTGGCCGCCCAGACTTAAAGGACATTCCTTTGAACGATGCAAAGACCTGGTTCACTGACAGGAGTAGCTATGTTGCCAGTAGAAAGCGACATGCTAAGTACACAGTGACGACCTGCAGAGAGGTAATAGAGTCTAGACCCTTACCAACAGGCACCTCTGCGCAGGAAGCTGAGATAATTGCACTGACCCATGCCTTAGAAATGGCAAAAAGAAAAGAGAATAAACATCTATACAAACTCGAAGTATGCATTCAGAGTCGTGGATGCACATGGAGCCATTTGGAAGGAGAGGAGACTGCTAACCTCACAAAGAAAGAAGAGACAATCCGGCTGCTGGAAGCAGTTCAGCTGCCTGAAAAGGCATATTAAGGAACACCAGAGAGTGAGCTCAGAATTAGAAGAAAGAAATGAGCTGGCAGATGGAGAAGCAAAGAAAGCAGCAAAAAGTGAAATAATTACAGACAGATTTTCCTCGAAAGTAAGCCAGAATATAATAATACTAATCAAAAAGGACATGCAACCACAAGGGGTGGGCTACCATTGAAAAAGAGCTGGTAATCCCTTCCCATTTTTGTGATCACTAGTGAAGGAGGAGCACTAAAAAACACACTGAAGCCTAACTACTCAAAAGCTTTTATAAAGTGTGCCTCCTTTCCCAGAATGACCAAGGCTGCCAGTGATACAGAGTGCATTGAAATGAAGTGTTGACTTTTAAGGAGTAGTTTCCACAGGCTTTCTAGAACACATATCTGATGGAAAAAATCGTTGCCAAGAATTTATATGCCACTATTACTCAGGTAAACTGACAGAGTGATCCTTGCCTCCAGACTAACCACAAAAATACCCCCAAGCTGAAACTCAGTCAGATTAGGAGAGGCCATGGGCCTAGACAGCAGTGGCAAATTGACTTTTCAGAACTCCCAAGGAAAGGGGGGTATCAGTATTTATTGTTATTGACAAATACATTTTCAGGGTGGCCAGAAGCATTCCCCACCAGAACTGTCAAAGCTCGAGAGGTGACCAGGGTATTATTACAAGAAATAATACCACGTTTCAGAGTTCCAGCCACAATATCCTCGGATAGACGATCACATTTCATTTCCAAAATAGTGCAACAGATTAGTAGCCACCTGGGCATGGATTGGGAACTTCACCCTCCATACCACCCCCAATCAAGTGGCCAGGTGGAGAAAAGGAATCATTTGATTAAGCAGCAGATTGTAAGACTCGGGCAAGAAGTTAATCTACCCTGGCCCCAAGCTCTTTCACTAGCACTACTGCGAATTCGAACTAAACTTCAGGCTAAAGAAAAGCTGAGTCCTTTTGAAATGTTTTATAGAAGACCATATAGAATACAAAAGAGAATGTCCACCCACATTAGGGAAGTAACACTAGCCACCTACATGGTGGCTTTAAGCAAACAGCTCAGAGAAATTGAGAAACACGTGGCTAGAACTCGGAGCAAAGAGCTAGATAGACCAGTACATAACATACAGTCTGGAGATTATGTATATGTTAAGCCTCTTGCAGAAAAGACTTTAGAACCACAGTGAGAAAGACCACTGCAAGTGCTTCTCACCACCTTCACCGCAATCAAGATCAAGGAGCAGAATGCCTGGATCCATCACTCTCAAGTGAAGAAGGCCCCAGAAGCCCCTTAGAGAGTGACATCAGGAGACAATGAACTGAGACTAAAACTTGCTCAGGCAAAATGAGTATATTGCAGCTGGGGGTAGTTTGTAATTTCATTTACGGAATTGTTTTGTATATAACCGGAGTCTTAGAATTAGAGAGTATCTCTATTCAAAGCGATGCTGAATAGCCTTAGTCCCAAGCTTTTAATCAGTATACTAGATCCATGGGAGAACTTCCTGAGATAAAAAAATCTAAACCTATCCACTGCAGTAATTCATGAAGATCAAGTATATGAAGAGCAAGAGTGGCAAGAATGAGAACTGTAGACACTTCAAGAGAATAGGAGAAAAGAAATCAAAGTACAGTGCTAGGTGGTCAATGAGATGGCTTATGAGAGACCAGATTCAATTAGTGTCTCAACCTCTCCCGTATACAGGCACCAAGAAGTTTGTGATAGCCTAAGTGAATCAGACTGTTAGTGTAATTTCACCTTGATACAGCCTGTAGAAGTTACCTGCCCTTAGGCTCAGGATGCTATCAAGCTCTCATTTAAATTTAAAATAGACACTGCACTTTTTACAGCATCAAGACCTTATACAACCCACACTAGGACTCAAATAGTTCAGACCCAACCCAAACTTGAACCTGAAGTGTATGAAATAGGCCCCTACGTAGTGAAGAATGTAGGTGAACAACAACTGTTGTTCAATCCAGAATGGTCTTTCAAACGTGTTGAGTTGATAATGCAAATTAACATCTCAAAAATCCAACCAGCCTGCTCCTCTTTCCTAAGAACATCCTTTAAGAGCTAGACAATGTAGTTACAAAGATAAGTATACCTCAGGAGCAGAATAAGAAAGGATCTAACTGACATATTAAAGACAAGATTGAGAGTTTTAAATAGAATTGATTCAGAAATACTGATGAATAAGCTGGCCACTGCAGCAAGTAGTCTAGCAAAATTGAAGCAGCCT